AAGCCTTTTCTGACCCCCACTCACTCCCTAAGTATAAGGGCAGAAAAGCCTTTTCTGACCCCCACTCACTCCCTAAGTATAAGGGCAGAAAAGCCCATTGAAAGCATCAAAAGTGTCTTATTCACTGTGTATTCTTTGCAGCCAGTAAGCACATTGTGTCTGCTGGATAAATGTTTGTGCAAAGGAGACTGGTAGACTGCACAGTACCGAGACTTCTGGAATGTTGAAGCCAGTAGTGTTTTCTGCCCAGATGCCAAACTCCCTTCCTCTAAAGTGGGGCGTGTCAATTAAAACAAGACAGGGAGGACTATTTGCAACCACTAATCCTGTCCCCCAGACAGGCCAGCAGGCAGGCAGAGCAGATGGCAGCTCTGGCTACATATCCAAGCTCTTCCCTGCAGCCTCCACTGGCCTCCCTCCAAAACTTCCATTCATTCAGCCATCCTTCCATTCGTTATTACTCATCTTGTCTGTAAACAAATTTGAGGGCATGTCAATGCATTTATGCAGGAGATACATTAAGGAAAGTCATGTTTCAAAACTTTTACTGTAGGATTTCGTCACTAAAATCAAATGCAGGTAATGATGTCAGTGGTGATGATGATGGTGGTGGTGGCTGGCAAGCTTAGGAGACATGGCCAATGTCACCCCGTCTTGAATTCTGGTGTGGGTGAGCCCAGCTTCTGTAGCTGGTTATCACTGAGGCCCTCCACGGAGAAAGCAACAGACTAGAGCAGTGGTTTGCACTTTTCTCCCACCCTTGTTCCCACACACAGCTTTTCTTTTCCTGGGCTACTTTGGCAGGTGACATAACCTCTCTGTTCTTCACCCCATGGAGAGGTGACTCTGTCACGAGAAGGCCTGTTGCATCTGCTTGCCTCGACACCTAGACCCCCTTTGGAGGGGAACTATCCCCTGGGCCCCATTGCCCTGGCTCAGCTGGGGACCGGCAGCTGCCATCAGAGGCAGGCCAGGGCTGGGAGCCCTCCACCCAGGGCTCTGACACCACCAGGGAGTGGCTCTCTACAGATGCTCTGTGGGGGAGAAAACCTGCCCAGTGGAGAGGGTGAGCAGTCAGCAGGAAGGAGAGGAATCCTGGAGAGAGGGCAGGAGCCCAGACAGAGTCCCAGCTTAGTAGGTATCTTTTGGCTGGATGGATGAATGAAAAGGGCATGAGGGAAAATCGGGAGTGGTTTTGTACTGGGACTAGCTGCAGAAAGAGTCCTGTCTGTTCAGCGAGTAAACACTGGGGAAAGTCATGTTTCTAAACTTTTACCATAGGATTTCTTCACTACACAACAAACGTACTGACTGCTTGCCACTGTGTGAGGTGGTTAGGAGGGCTGCGACTCAGCTCGGGACTCCAGGAGCGTTGAGCTGCGCAGGACTGAGGACGTGCAGGGACCGGCCCCTGCTCTGCCCTCCGCGGGCCACCCAAGGTGTGCACTAAGCGGTCACGGCCGCCAGGGGGCGCGCCAGGGCGGCGGAGGGGGGCGGCCGTCCGGAACCAGGGGCGGGGACGCCGCGACGCTGGCGCTGCCCGGTCCCGTGACTGCGCGCCCCGCCCGGAGCCGCGGCCGCCGTCATGCAGTCACCGGCGGTGCTCGTCACCTCCAGGTGAGCCAGAACCCGGCGCCGGGTGCCAGCCTCGGGCAGCTTAGGGTCCGGGGTTCCCGGCCGTCACCCGGGGGTCCGTGGCTGTGGTTGGCTCGGGCCTCCCCCAGCGCCCTCGGTGGTTTGTCGGGCTGGGCCTCTGCAGGAGAGATGGCGCGGCCCACCTAGTGCCCTCATGTTACAGATAGGGAAACTCAGGCCCCCTGGAGGGTAAAGAATTCACCCAAGATCCAGCGGGATACCTGGGACTGAATGGTTCCATACAGGCGGGCAGAGAGGGGACTCTGTTCTCTTTCCCTATCCACTTGGGGTCTTGGGAGCCAGAGACTTCTCCATCGTTTTGGCGCTCAGCTCAGTGTGTGCCAGCCCAGAGCTAGGCCCTGGAGATAGGGGTGAATCAGAGGAGCCCTGCAGGGGACACCCTGAGCTGGTGGGGGAGGGTAGATGCGGGGAGTGGGAAGTAAGTCCCCGCTGCCTGGGCACACAGAGCAGGGCAGGAGCACCGGCTCCTGGGTGGAGGTGGGGACACATCCTGCAGGTGGATGGGAGAGGCTAGGAAGAGGTTCAAGGGGGCAGCTCAGGAGACAAGCAAGTTAGAGTCCAGGCTGGAGGGGTCTGCCCTGGTCCTGGTCTGGGGGACCCAGGAGGGACATGGTTTTACTCTTTTCCTTTATTTTAAAAATCTGTAAAGTGACTCACTTAAAGTACTTTCATATACTCCACCCTCGTCCCCTTACACAAAATCTTGGGCTAAGCTACCCGTGTCCTCAAACTACAGCCAGTGGGCCACATGCAGCCCGCCGAGGACATTTATCTGGCCCGCCAGGTGTTTTTGCCGCTGCTGCCTGTCCTGCTTAGCAGCTGACTCATCCTGGGGCCCACAATCTGCCCTCCAGTGGTCTGAGGGACAGTGAACTGGCCCCCTGTTTAAATAGGTTGAAGACCCCTGGTTACATCTGTGAATATGTTGCTTCACCCAACTGTTAATCTTCCAATGATCCAGAAGTCAAGTCTAGACATGTTTGTAGACCTTGATGTTAGAACCTGCTTGGTTTATCTGCAAGATATACCTCGGTTACAGATGGGCAGAAGGTTCCCTACTGCATGCAGGTCACCTCCTCTCACTGCCTCTGTTTCCTGTCCTGCAAACTGGAGGATTGAGAGGGGCAGACATGGCAGCAGCAGATGCCCCCCCAGCCACATGGAGACCGATGGAGCATGTTGGTGCCAACACCCAGCCCAGCAGCTAGGTCGGCCCTTTCCTTTCATTCCCAGCTCCTGTTTCCAGCCTGGCCTCCTCCACATGTCATCGCCACCTGTGCTCATCATGCCTTCAGCCAACTTCTCTGTGCCAGGTACAGGTCTAGGTTCTAGGAGACAGCAGTGAGGCAAACCTAGAACTCCAGGGGGGACAGGACGGTAGGCAAGTATGTAACATGTGCAGGATGGCAAATGCTGTGAAGGAAAATGATGCGGTAGAGGCCAAAGGGTGCTGGGAAGAGTGCGTGCATCCTGCATGGTGTGGTCAGGGGGCATCTTGCTCGTGGAGTGGCCCTGGAGAGATCCCTGACAAACTCCCTGAAGGAGAGAGCCAGGGAAAAGAAATGTTGAAATGTGTGTGCCCAGCTGTGAGGGCAGCCGGAGCCAAGGGCCTGGGGCCGGTGTGGCTGCAGTGGACAATCAGGAAAGACCTTATAAACTGTTGGATCTCATTCTGAGCACAATGGACCCCCACTTCTGTTTTACAGAGATTCTTTGGCTACTGTGTTGAGTGTGGGCTGGGGCGGGGGGGGGGGG